CATTTTTTGGCCACTTCTCTGGCCTGCTGGGCTCCTGTTCTGGGCTCTCTGGCCCTGTGGGCTCCTGTTTGGGCCCTCTTGGCCTGCTGCGGCTCCTGTTTGGCCTCCTCTGGCCCCTGCTGCAGCTCCTGTTCTGAGCCTCCTCTGGCCCCTGCTGCTGTCAGTGATCTGGGCCTATCTGGCCTGTGCGGCTCTGTTTCTGGGCCCTACTCTGGCCCTGCTTCGGCTCTGTTTGGGCTACTCTGGCCTGCTGGGCTCCTGTTTGGGCCCTCCTCTGGCCTGTGCGGCTCCTGTTTGGGCCTCTCTGGCCTGCTGAGCTCCTGTTTGGGCCTACTTGGCTGTTCGGTCCTGTTCTGGGCCCTACTTGGCCCTGCTGCGGCTTTTTTCCTGGGCCTCCTTGGCCTGCTGCGGCTCTATTTGGGCCCTCCTCTCGGCCCTGCTGCGAGCTCCTGATCTGGGCCTCTCTGGCCCTGCTGCGGCTCTGTTCTTGGGCCCTACTCTGGCCCCTGCTGCGGCTCCTGTTCTGGGCCTCCTTGGCCTGGCTGCTGCTCCTGTTTGGGCCTTCTGGCCCTGCCTGCGCGGCTATGTTCTGGGCCTCTTGGACCATGCGCTGCGGTCTGTTTGGCCCTCCTCTGGGCCCTGCTGCGGTCCTTGTTAGGGCCTTACTTGGCCCTGCTTGGCGGCTACATGTTCTGGGCTATTGGGCCCTGCTGAGGCTACTGTTCTGGGCCTACTCTGACCCTGCTGCGGCTCTGTTCTGGGCCCTAATTCTGGCCCCTGCTGCGGTCCTGTTTGGGCTCCTCTGGCCCTGCTGCGGCTCTGGTCTGGGCCTCTTGGCTGCTGCGGCTCTGTTCTGGGCCCTCCTTGGCCCTGCTGCGGCTCCTGGTTGGGCCCTCCTCTGGCCCTGGCTGGGGCTCTGTTCTGGCCTCTCTGGCCTTGTACGGCTCCTGTTTGGACCCTCTTGGCCCTGCTGGCTCCTGTTTGGGCCTCTCTGGCCCTGCTCGGGGCTCTGTTTCTGGGCCCTCCTTTGCCCTGCTGGGCTCTGTTCTGGGCTCCTTGGGCCCTGCTGCGGCTCTGTTTGGGGCCTCTCTGGGCCTTGCTGCGGCTCTGTTTGGGTCCTTGGCCCCTGCTGCGGTTGTTCTGGGCTCTTGGCCCCTGCGCGGCTCTGTTTCTGGGCCCTACTCTGGCACTGTGGCTCTGTTCTGGGCCCTCTATGGCCCTGCTGCGGTCCTGTTCTTGGGCCCTCCTTGGCTGTGCGGCTGTTTGGGTCTCTGGCCCTGCGGCGTGTCCTGTTCTGGGCCCTACTTGGCCACCTGCTGGGTCTGTTTTGGGCCTCCTTGGGCCCCTGTGCGTTGTTCTGGGCCTACTTGGCCCCTGCTTGCCAGCTCCTGTTCTGGGACTACTTGGGGCCTGCTGCTGGCTCTGTATGGGCTCCTCTGGCTCCCTGTGCCGCTCTGTTCTGGGCCTAAACTCTGGCTGCTGAGCTCTGTTCTGGGCCCTTTGGCCTGACTGGGTCTGTTCTGGGCCTCCTCTGGCCCCTGCTGCAGTCTGTTCTGGGCCCTCTTGGCCCTTGCTGGGCTCCTTGTTTTGGGCCTACTCTGGCCCTGCTGCGTGGCTCCTTGTTCTGGCTCTTGGCTTGCTGCAGCTCTATTCTGGGCTCTCTGGCCTGCTGCGGTACTGTTAGGGCCCTTTGGCCCTGCTGCGGTCATGTTCTGTGCCCTACTCTGGCACCTGGGCAGGCTCCTGTTCTGGGGCCTCCTCTGGCTGTGGGCTCTGTTTGGGCTCCTCTGGCCCCTGCTGAGCTTCCTGTTATGGGCCCTCTCGGGCCCCTGCTGGGCTCATGTTCTGGGCCTACTTCTGGCCTGTCTGCGGTCCGGGTCTGGGCCTCCTCTGGCCCCTGCGAGCTCCTATTCTGGGGCCTCCTCTGGCCCTGCTGCGGTCCTGTTCTGGGCCTCTCTTGGCCTTGCTGCGGCTCTGTTCGGGCCCTCTCTGGCCCCATGCTGGGCTCTATTTGGTGGGCCCTCCTTGGCCCCGTGCTGCGGCTCCTGTTTGGGCCTTCTCTGGCCCTGCTGGGCTCCTGTTCAGGGTACTCTGGCAGGCTGCGGCCTCTGTTCTGGGCCTTCTGGCCTGCTGCTGCTTGTTCTGGGCCTCTTAGGCCCCTGCTGAGTCTGTTTTGGCCCTACTCTGAGCCCCTGCTGCGGCTCCTGTTGCTGGGCCCTACTGGCCCTGCTTTCGGCTCTGTTCTGAAGGCCTACTTTTGGCCTGTCTGCGGCTCCTGTTCTGGGACCTCTTGGCCCCTGCTGGGGCTCCTGTTTGGCCCTCCTTGGCCCTGCTGCAGCTGTTCTGGGCCCTATCTGGCCCTGTTCGGCTCCTGTTTCTGGGCCCTATTGGGCCCTGCTGCGGTTGTTCTGGGCTCTCTGGCCTGCTGCGGGCTCTATTTGGGCCCTCTCTGGCCCGCTGAGCTCTGTTCTGGGCCTCCTCTGGCCCTGCTGCGGAATGTTCTGGGCCTACTTCTGGCCCGTGATGCGGTCCTGTTCAGGCCCTCCTCTGGCCCCTGCTGGGCTCCTGTTCTGGGCCTCCGCTGGCCCCTGTGGGGGGCTCTGTTTGGGCCCTCCTTGGCCTGCTGCGGCCTCCTGATCTGGGCCCTCTTGGCCCCTGCTGGAGCTCCTGTTCTGGGCCTATCCTGCCGTGTGGGCACCTGTTCTGGGCCTACTCTGGGCCCCGTGCTCGCGGCTTCTGTTCTGGAGCTACTTCGGCCCTGTGCGGTCCGTTTGGGCCCTATTGGCCCTGTGCGGCTCTGTTTCTGGGCCTCTTGGCCCTGCTGCGGCTCCTGTTCTGGGCCCTCTCTGGCCCTGCTGGCGCTCTGGTCTGGGCCCTCCTCTGGCCCTGCTGCGGTCCTGTTTGGGCCCTCTCTGGCTGTACGGCTCTGTTCTGGGCCCTCCTCTGGCCTGCTGCGGCTCCTGTCTGGGCTCCTCTGGCCTGTCCGGCTCTGTTCTGGCGCCCCTTTCTGGCCCCCTGCTGCGGTTGTTGGGCTCCTTTGGCCCTGCGGAGGTCTGTTCTTGGGCCCTCTTGGGCCTGTTGCGGCTCTTGTTTGGGCTCCTACTGGCCACTGCTGCGGCTCCTGTTCTGGGGCCTCTCTGGCCTGCTGCGGCTCTGTTTGGCCTACTGGCCCCTGCAGCGGCTCTGTTGGGCCTCTCTGTCCCCTGCTGCGGTCTGTTCTGGGGCCCTATCTGGCCCTGCTGGCAGCTCTGTTCTGGCCCTACTTGGCGGCTGCGGTCTGTTCGGGGCCCTCCTTGGCCTGCTGTGTCTGTTTGGCCCACTTGGCCTGTGGCGTCAGTTTGGGCCCTCCTCTGGCCCTGCTGCAGCTTGTTTGGGCCTCTCTGCCCTGCTGCGGATTGTTTCTGGGCCTACTTGGCTGCTGCGGTCCTGATAAGGGCCCTCTCTTGGTGTGGCGGCTTCTATTTCTGGGCCTCTCTGGCTGTGGGCTTGTTGGGGCCATCCTTGGTGTGGGTCTGTTATGGGCTACTCTGGCCCTGTGCGGTCTGTTCTGGGCTTCTGGCGCGCGGTGGCTCTATTCTGGGCCTTTGGCCCCTGCTGAGCTCTGTTCTGGGCTATTGGCCTGTGCGGCTCTGTTCTGGGACCTCTTGGCCTGTGCAGTGCCAATTTCTGGGCCTCTCTGGCCCTGCTGCGGCTCTTGTTCTGGGCCTCCTTTGGCCTGCTGGGTACTTGTTTGGGGCTCTTTGCTGTTTTGCGTCTATTTGGGCCTCTCTGGCTGTGGGCTTGTTTGGGCTCTCTGGCCCTGTGGGCTCCTGTTTTGGGGCCCTCTCTGGCCTGCTGCTGCTCTGTTTGGGCCTACTTGGCCCCTGCTGAGGCTCTGTTTGGGCCTACTTTGGCCCTGCTTCGGCTCTGTTCTGGGCTACTTGGCTGCTGCGGCTCTGTTAGGGCCTTCCGGCCTGCTGCAGCTCTGTTTGGGGCCTATTGCATTTCTGGCCCTGCTTCGGCTGGTTCGGGCTTCTTTGGTGCTGGGCTCTGTCTGGGCCTCTTGGCCCCTGCTGGGTCTATTTGGGTCCTTGGGCCTGTGCAGCTCTGTTCTGGGCCTACTATGGCCCTGTCTGGGCTCTGTTCTGGGTTCTGGCTGTGCGGTCCTGTTTGGGCTCTTTGGCCTGCTGCGGCTTGTTCTAGGGCTCTTGGCCCTGCTGCGGCTCTGTTCTGGGACTCTGGCCAGCTGCGGCTTGATCTTGCCTCCTTGGCTGCTGCGGCTCCTGTTTGGGCCCTCTTCTGGCCCTGCTGCGGTCCTGTTCTGGGTCCTCTATTGGCCCCTGCTGCGGTCTGTTCTGGGCCCCCCCCTTTTTTTTTTTTTTTAACTTGGCCCTGCTGCGGGGTCCTGTTTGGGTCTCTGGGGACCCTGCTGCTGGCTTGTTCTGGGCCTTATCTGGCCTGCTGCAGTCCTGTTTGGGCCCTGACTTGGCTGCTGCGGTCTGTTGGGCCTCTATGCGCTGCTGCAGCTCTGTTCTGGGGCCCTCCTTGGCTGTGAGGGTCCTGTTCTGGGCCTCCTCTGGCCCTGTGCAGTTGTTCTGGGCTCCTAGAGCCTGTGCGGATCTGTTCTGGCCAACTCTGGCACTGTGCGGCTCTGTTTGGGCCTCCTTCTGGGCCCTGCTGCAGTTTATTTGGGCCTGCTCTGGCCATGCTGCGGCACCTGTTCTGGGCCTTTGGCTGCTGCGGTCACTGTTTGGGCCCTCTCTGGCCCCTGCTGCGGCTCTTCTGTTTGGGCTCCTCTGCCCTGTGCTGGTCTGTTCTGGGCCCTCCTCTGGGCCCTTGCTGAGCTCCTGTTCTGGGCCCTTTGGCCCTGCTGCACTCATGTTCTGGGCCCTATCTGGCCCCTTGCTGCGGCTTCCTGTTTGGGCCTCACTGGCCCCTGACTTGCAGCTTCTGTTTGGGCCTCCTTGGCCTGCTGCAGTCTGTTCTGGGCCTCTCTGGCCCCTGCTGCGGTTGTTTTGGGCCTACTTGGCCAGCTGGGTCCTGTTCTGGGTCTTGTGGCCTGCTGCAGGCTCTGTTTGGGCTCCTTGGCCTGCTTGCAGCTCTGTTATGGGCCTCCTCTGGCCCTGTGCTGGTCTGTTCTGGGGCCTATCTGGCCTGCTGCGGCTCTGTTCTGGGCCTTTGGCCACCGTGCTGCAGCTCCTGTTCTGGTCCTCTTGGCCCTGCTGCAGTGCTGTTATTGGGCTACTCTGGGCCTGTGGGCTCGGCTCTGTTATGGGTGCCTTTGGCCCCCTGTGCAGACTCCTGTATCTGGGCCCTCTCTGGCCCTGCTGCAGGCTCTGTTCTGGGCCCTTTGGCCCTGCTTCGGATCTGTTCTGGGCTACTTGGTGCTGTGGTTGTTCTGGGCCTCTTGGATCCTGCTTGGGTCTGTTTCCCCCCCACCGGGGGCTCCTCTGGCCCCTGTGCTGCACTGTTTGGGCCTCTTGGCCTGCTGGGTTCTGTTTGGGCCCTACTGGCCTGTGGATTCCTGTACTGGGCCCTTTCTGGCTGCTGGGTCCTGTTCTGGCCTCTTGGCCCTGTGCGGCTTGTTTCTGGGTACTCTGGCCCTTGCTGCGGCTCCTGTTCTGGGCCCTACTCTGGCCCCTGTGCGGTCCTGTTCTGGGCCTCCTCTGGCCTGCCTGCAGCGGTGTTCTGGGCCCTCTGCTTGCCCCCTGATGGGCTCTGTTTGGGCTACTCTGGCTGTGCGGTCCTGTTTCTGGCTCCTACTCTGGGCCCTGTTGGTTGTTCTGGGCCTACTTTGGCCTGCTGCGGCTCTGTTTGGGCTCCTTGGCCCTGCTGCGGCGCCTGTTCTGGGCCTTTGGCCCCTGTGGGCTCTGTTCTGGGCCCTTCTGAGCCCTTGCTGGGCACTGTTCTGGGCCCTCCTCTGGCCATGCTGCAGTTGTTCTTGGCCCTCTCTGGCTGTGCGGCTCTGGTTCTGGGCCTCCTCTGGCCTGATGCGGTCTGTTTGGGCCCTCCTCTGGCCTGTGCGGATCTGTTATGGGCCTCTTGGCAGCTGCGGCTCTGTTTGGGGTCCTCTGGCTGCTGGGCTTGTTCTGGCCTTCTGCCCTCGCTGCGGCTCTGTTTGGGCCCTCTTGGCCTGTGGGTCTGTTTGGGCCTCAACTGGCCTTGCTGCGTGCTTGTTGGGCCTCTTGGGCTGCTGGGCTCAGTTTGGGCCCTACTTGGCCCTGTGCGGCTTGTTCTGGGCTCTTGGCCTGATGCGAGGTTTTGGGCCTCTTCGCCCTGTGCGGTCTGTTTGGGCTTTGGCCTGCTGCAGTCTATTCTGGGCCTATGGCCCTGCTTCGGCTTGTTCTGGGCCTTCCTTGGCTGCTGCGGTTTTTGGGCTATCTGGGCTGTGCGGCTCCTGTTTGGTGTCTCTTGGCCTGCTTGGGTCCTGTTCAGGGTTTGGCTGCTGGGTTGTTATGGGCCCTTTGGCTGCTGGGCTCTGTTTGGGCTCTCTGGCCTGCTGGGCTCCTTTTTGGGCTTTGGCCCTGTGCGGTTTGTTTGGGCCCTCTTGGCTGCTGTGGGGCTTGTTTGGTCTCTTGGCCCTGCTGCGGTTGTTCTGGCATCTCTGGCCGCCTGTCGCCAGCTCCTAATTGGAGCCTCTCTGGCCTGCTGGGCTCTGTTTGGGCCCTCCTTGGCCCGGCTGCAGCTCTGTTTGGGCTTTGGGGGCCTGGGGTCCTGTTCTGGGCCTCCTCTGGACCCTGAGCGGTTGTTATGGGCTCTCTGGACCTGACTGCGGCCTGTTCTGGGCTCTTGGCCCCTGCTGCGTCTCCTGTTCTGGGGCAATCTTGGCCCTGCTGGCGGCTTGTTCTGGGCCCTTTGGCCTGCTGGTTTCTGTTTGGGCTTGGTTGCTGACGGCTCTGTATGGGACCTCTCTGGCCTGTGCGGGCTCCTTGTTCTGGGCCCTCTTGGCCCCTGCTGCGGGGCTCCTGTTCTGGGGCCTCTTCTGGCCTGTGAGTCTGTTCTGGGCCTCCTCGCGGCCTGCTTGAGCTCTGTTCTGGGGCTCCTTGGCCCTGCTGCGGCTCCTGTTTGGGCCTTTTCTGGCCTGTGCGGGGCTACTATTTGGGCCTCTTTGGCCCTGTGCGGCTGTTATGGGCCCTACTTGGCCCTGCTGCGGTCTGTTCTGGGGCCTCTCTCCTCGGCCTGTGCAGCTCTATTCTGGGCTCTTGGCCCTGTGCGGCCTATTCTGGGCCCTCCTTGGCCTGTGCAGCTTTTTTGGGCCTTCTCTGGCCTGCTGATTATGTTGGGCCTTTGGCCTGTGCGGCTCTATTTCTTGGGCCTCCTTGGCCCCTGCTGCGGCTCTGTTCTGGGCCTACTTGGCCCCTGCTGCGGTCTGTTCTGGGACCTTCCTACTGGCCCTGGGCCAGCTCCTATTTTGGGCCTTCTCTGGCCCTTGCTGCGGCTTGTTTGGGCCTTCTGCCCCTGCTGCAGTCTGTTTGGGCCCTCCTTTGGCCTTGTGCGGTCTGTTATGGGGCCTCTCTGGCCATGTGCGGGTCTGTTTTTGGCCTCCTCTGGACCATGCTGCTGGCTCCTGTTTGGGCTCCTTGGCTGCTGCAGTCTGTTCTGGGCCTCTTGGCCTGCTAGTTAGTTTCTGGGCTCTTGGCCCTGCTGCGGACTTTGTTTGGGCTCTTGGCTGCTGGGTTCTTGGGGCTCCTCTGGCTTGCTGCGGCTCTGTTCTGGGTCTCAGGTCCTGCTGGGTCTGTTTTGGGCCCTCTCGGCTGTGCGTCTAGTTGGGCTCTTCTGGGCCTGTGGGCTCCTCTTCTGGGCCTCCTCTGGCTGCTGGGCCTCCTTATTCTCCCCGGGGCACTCTCTGGCCCCTGTGGGCTTTGTTCTGGGCTCTCTGGCCTGTGCAGTTCTGATCTAGGGCTCTTGGCCTGCTGCAGCTCTCCTATTTGGGCCATCTCTGGCTGCTGCAGCTCTATTATGGGCTCTCTGGCTGCTGGTGGCTCTGTTTGGGCTCTTGGCCCTGCTGCGGGCTCTTGATTGGGCTCCTCTGGCCTGCTGCAGCTCTATTCAGGTACTTGGCCTGCTTCAGCTTCCTATTTTGGGCCTTCATCGGGCCCTGCTGCGGATTGTTTGGTCCTCCTCTGGCCTGCTGCAGCTCCTATTCTGGGCCTCTCTGGCCGTGCTGGGGTCCTGATCTGGGCCCTCCTCTGGCCCTGTGCAGCTTATTTTGGGCCTCCTCTGGCCCTGCAGCGGCTTGTTTGGGCCTCTCTGGGCCTGTGCGGTTGTCTGGGCCTACTTCGGCCTAAGCGGCAGCTTGTTTGGGGGCCTTCTTGGCCTCTGCTGCAGCTCTGTTTTGGGCTCCTCTGGGCCTGCTGGTGGTTGTTCTGGGCCCTCTTGGCCCTGGCCGGGCTCTTGTTCGGAGCTCCTTGGGCCCTGCTGGGCTCCTGTTCTGGGCCTCCTTGGCCCCTGCTTGGGTCCAGATCTGGGGCCTCCTCTGGCCCTGCTGGGTCCTGTTCAGGGCCTCTATGGCCTGCTGCAGCTTCTTATTTGGGCTCTTGGCCCTGCTGTGATTTTTGGGCTCCTTGGCCTGCTGCGGCTCTAATTGGGTACTTGGCCCTGTGCAGCTCGATTTGGCCTTCTGGCTGCTGGGCTCTGTTCTGGTCCTTATGGCTGCTGAGTACTATTCTGGGCCTTCTGGCCTGCTGCGGTTGTTATGGGCTTTTGGCCCTGTGCTGGCTTGTTCTGGGCCCACTCTGGCCGGCGGCAGTTGTTTGGGCCTCTCTGGCTGCTGCAGTATGTTCTGGGGCCTTCTGGCCCTGCTGGGTCTGTTCTGGGCTCTCTTGGCCCCTGTTGATCGCTCTGTTCTGGGCCTCCTCTGGCTGCTTCGGCTCACTGTTCTGGGCTCCTCTGGCCCTGTGGGCTCTGTTCTGGGCTCTCGGGCTGATGCGTCAGGAAAGCCTCCAATCTTCAAGAGACGAAACCCAGACCGAAAGTTTGCCTAACATCTGCAAATGGGCAGTTTAGAATTATTGGACTGGGCACTCTAGCAATATACGAGGGCAAATATTCTGCCGTCTAGTGCGCATAACACAAGAGCATGGGCTAAGCAAATTAACAGAAAATATCGTGTGTTTTATTATTTTAGCATTTAAATAGCATTTGACTTTTTGTTTTAAATGTACATAGTTAGTGCTTTTTCAGAGCTGACAATCTTTCAATTTGTTTCATAGAGAGTTAAGAAAATCAGTGTGTTCAGTTTAATAGCATTTACACGTTTTTTTTTATTTGTACATAGTGCTGTTTCAGAGCTGATAATGTTAATTTGTTTAACAGAGTTATTTATTTAATTTGGGTTATTTTTATTGCAATTTGTTTGTTATTGTCTTTCATTGTTGGAAAATAAATATTCGGTTCTTTACGACATAATGTGTATGGTCTTCTACGTTCTATCACTCAATTCACTATGAAAGTCCTTTAGGAAATATGCATAGTTTAAAAAAAAAAACATAGTTTCAGCTGCAAATGTTCTGTGAAAAATAAAAATGAGTACTGGATATGATTTATACTATTAAAATGTACTGTATATAGGTACTGTACAGTATGACTGGAAATTTGTATTTTATATATCACTGAAACAGAAAAAATATTTTAATATTTTAACCAATAAAGCTTTAATGGGATAGCTTTGTTTTAGCAGATACAATGTGGTATGTTGTAATATAAAATACGAGACAATTTCCACAAAATAGCATTTGTAAATGTTTTATTAAGACAACAAAAATTACTTTCGGAAAATTTTTCACTCAAACATGGCTTTGCACCTGCTGGGATCGAACCCGCGACCCTGGAGTCGCTCTTTCTCTTCTCGCCTTCTTCCCCCTCCCCTTCTTTCCCCTTCTTCACTTTCTTCCCCCCCTACGTAGACTGTTGTTCCCCAGCTTTGGGCCCAGCACGCTTCCGCTGCGCCACTCTGCTGCGGCGGAACGACGTCACATACCAGAGTATTAATAGGCGCTCATCCAACGGGAGTGAGATCCATCTATCTCAGTGTCGTCACACTCTCTCACTCCATATTCGCAATTTCTCACGCTAAAATATGACAAATATTAAAGTTCAACTCCGTTCCACTTATTTATGTATAAAAATCCCACTGTGATCTAAATCCAGTCCGTGTTTTTAATTCAACCAGACACAGGATTCCAGGTTCAGATCCAGTCCGTATTCCCACCTATTCACTGTGGCAGATATTGTTTAAAGACAGTTATTAGGAGGGATTCATTTTAATTTTTATGTGATAATTCTCTTTATTAATTATTGAAGAATTTAAGCAAACTAGTACTTTAGTAAATATGAATAAAAATAGAGCATCTAGTTTAAATTGTTGCTGTGGAGCCTGAGTGCAGGATCACATCCAATGGTTTGGTTTCTCTTTACCTGCTGCTTGTTTTAGTCCCAATTGTGGAAGAGCTTTTTTATGTATAAAAACCTTTTTGAATAAAGTCGGTGGATAAATAGATTAAAGAAATGTGTAAACTGTCTTCATTTGACCTGATCAGCCTATCGGCGGCGGCCTCACCTCCTCCTCCCTTCATAAAGTCCAGCTTGATGTGATCAACAGCTCCTGACCTGAGCTTCCATCACCTCCACCTGCTCTCCACCTTCGCTCAGCAGACATTTCATCTATGTTTTTATTATAACTTTATAAAAGAATAATATGCTTCTGTATGTTCTTGCTTTATTACAAAAAACATTAGTTGATTCTGAAAAACAAAATAGTATTTACACATATAAAGTATTGCTAGTTATTAACTTTGCTTATATTTAAAATCTTTAAAACAAGGTTTTCCAATTGTTAAACAACCCTGTTGCGATATATTTACAGCTTCTTTATTGGTCGACTCTCTCTTCAACATATTACAGCCACAATATAACTTTGTCTGGAAACAACATTATTTCTATGAAAATTAAATAAGGAAAATTCAAAAATGTGCATAATATTGAAGCAACATTATGAAAAAGAATGACTGCACAAGTCAAAAGGCAAACCCTGTCCCACTGTAAAAAAAAAAGAAAAAAAGAAAGCGGCGAGAATTTTTTTTTTTTTTACAGAGTGGCGGAAACGGGCTTCCATAGAATAGCGCCTCCTGCTGATTTTTTAAAAGTTCTTCTTTTCTTCAAACACTGAAGCATAAGTTGTGAACCAGGATGTTGAGAGTAGCTTCAGACAGAAGTCCTTCTGAGTCTGTTGCGCGTAATGATTGAAAGAAAGAAGGCGAAACCTCGCTATGCAGACTCTGCATTCACATTATATCCATCAAGCTCACATTCTCATCCGTCAAATTGGGACCAGCTGTTTTTAATCACATGTAAAGGTTTTGATGGACCATAAAATGATTTTTAAACAGCAAAAACATTTTTTGGCACATTGACTTCTTATAGATTTAACTGTACTTCTAATTCAAATACATCTGTTGCAAACCTGAATACAGTTAATTTGTAATCAATGCTGTAAAGTATTTGTGATTATCTCAACATAAACTTGCATTCCAAACCTTTGCATGTCATGGTTTTCTTTATAGCAAAACTATTTTGTAACATTATAATGCATTACGTTCTGGTTCAGATACATGCTAAAAAAAAACGCTTACCATAATATGGAGCATTTAATATAGTGAAATGTTTGCTGAGCACATTATGAGACTTAGACGCAGCATGAGGAAGAATATCTCATCACATTTAGCAGAGACAGGTCAGGACTGAAAGGGAACAGGCTGATCAGTTCATGCAATTAGAATTAAATGACACTGAGATTTAGATAATTCAATAACATTAAAGTAAGATTTTGTCGTTTCTTTCCTTTTCTCTGTTCATCTTGAAAGAAAAAACTCGTTTCCACCTTTGTTGGACAGACCTCACACTGAAATTCTGTGTAGACTTTAGACCAATAAGATGAAAAAAATTCATGATTTCTGTCTCCGATACGTAACCCAGGTTGTCACGCAGGTTCTTAATACATTTCTGACAATCGATTACTGAATAAAAACAGGGTTTATAACATGACAAAGCATCTTACATGTGATTTTATGTGATCTAGGTGCATAAACTGTCAAATAAATTACAAACTAAATGTCTTTATAAATGTTCTCAGTCAGAATTCAGATTGTTTTTTAAAATAATGTAGGACGGCACTGAACCTGCTTCCAGAGGAAAAAGGATTTTTTTTGCTTATATTCTCATTTTCACTATATTGCTATAATCTTTACTGTTTCCTGCTATTCTTGTGCAGAAAACCCTGGTGGACAAAATTTGAATAAAATGCTAAGATAATAACAGACAATATTTTCAGGGTTTATTTTCAGGTCAAAGATCAGCAAATGGCCCCTAGATGCCTCGACCCTGCGACAGAATGGCTGAGGCTCGGTTTGCTATGGAGCCTGAGAGCTGAAACTGGTTTGATTATGATATTTAATAATAATAATAATAATAATAATAATAATAATAATAATAATAATAATGGAACTCTGTGAAGAGAAGGACCTTACAGGGGAATTCCTGAAATAATTGTGGAGCGATTTGAAGCTAACACCGATTGCACAGAATGATCGGACGCCATTTTCTTTGAGTAAAGTTTTCTCTTGTTTTTGTTATCTTAGGAAGGTAAGATGATTATATTTTATTTCATGTTTCTTTGAACAGGTAAGATGATCTAACAAAAGCTAGACTATTTTGTTTGTTGTTTTGGTCTGAGGTCCAAACTGAAGTCCATCAATCTTGTTACATGATTTATTTCATTATTATCAGAAAGGTTAATTCTCTGAGATTTGAGTTTTACAGATTATTGGAGGATATTTGGAAATATTAATAATTGCAGATCAGGGAGAAGATCAACCAAGAGACAATGGGACATTACTGCAACAATCAAACGTTTTCTTATTTTAATTTGAGCCTTGAATATGAATTGGCGCTTTATAAATGAACTGAATTGAATACAGAAACTGGACTCATGAAAAACAAGTAAAAATGTGAAACTTCTCTAGATTTGGTTTCCAGATACTGGTCAGTTTTTCTTTCCTCTCAGGATCACGTCTGACAGTGAGATTTAAGGACCCTGGGACAAGGACCGCCCTCACTCTGGATCCGCATAAGCCATGGACACATGTACCATATGTGAGGCCCAGGGGCCCAGGGGCCCAGGACAGCATAGAAGCAGACTGACTGAAGTCAGGGGGGGGATGGGATCCTTCTGCAAGAGAGTTAGGTAAGTCCGACACTACGTACTACAATGGGAGGATATGAAGTTGATTGTCTATGATTAGTTGATATTTGCGGATAAAAACACTAATCGTTGTTTTTTTTCAGAGCCCTGCAAGTGAAAGAACTGTATTTTTGATTTTTTTTTTTAAAGAAGACATTACAAGCATAGATTATTCTTGTATTTTGCAATTTCCTTAAGAAAATTTCTTATTGCAAAGTTTGTCAGCATTGTTTTTCCAACATGTATGTAAATGAGGGGGGTCGTTGAATTCTGGAAAGGTGATCACTTCAGTCTTTTTATGATTGAAGTTTAAAATGTTCGCATCCATCCAGAGTTTAATATCAAACAGGCATGAAAACAGAAGGCTGAGGAAGCTGGAATCATCTTCTTTACCCAGATACTCAGCTGGGTTTGTTCCTCTTAATGAAAAAGGATCATAGATTCTGCAAAAATAGAGCCAAGATGGAGCAGGAATAATGTAAGAATAAAAAGAGGCCTTTTAATGTAATACTGTGACCAGAGGGGAGCGGAGAAATTCACTCTCTGCATTTAACCCTTTTACACTCAAAAAAAGCAAACTGGGTGTCTGTTACCTTATCTTATGTCTAACATGTAGCTTCTACTATATAAAATCATGTTTTGTGGTTGAACAGTTTTAAATCATGTAGATTTAGCATAAAATGCAACAACTTAAAATTTACTTGAATAATTTATGTTAAAACAACCTAATTCTAATGGGTTAAGATTGCAAATCAATAACACTCCAAAGCAGTAGGTGGCAGTAATGAGCACATTCCCCTCTCTTGAAGGCCACGGTCAAAGGTGAGTGAGTCCCCGACTCTGGCTGGCAGAAGGAGTAGACATTTTGAAAAGAAATTTCAAGTGTGGAAGAAGGTAAGTTTAATCTTTTATCATCCATCGAACAGAAAACAATACGGCAGCAGACATGTTATAGACAGTTAGTTATTGTCCTCTTTTGCATTTTGGATTATTTATTTGTTACTGGGCGTTTTATTAGAGTGCATTAATATATCACACTGTCGCCATGCTCATAGCTAACTAAGCTTACAAGCTAGCATCCTGAGGTCGACGGCATGATTGACAACGCGTGCGGATTCATTTACAAAATGAGCTAAGAGCTGATGCAGGCATGGCTGGTGGGGGATAATTGCCTGCGTTTGGTGAATGTAGCTGCAGCTAAAAGGCTCCAGTCACATAGGCTACATTAATAATAATAGTGGTGATGAATTTCCCCCCAATCCGAATCTTGGCTTCACGTGGAGTCCGCAGAAAGCTCGGCACTTAACAGTCATTAGCTCTAAGTTTGGAAACTACCACGGCATCTCGGCACCTTGGCGGGGTTTCTATGTCAACTCCACGTAGCATTAGCTCATCCAGCTACTAACATCAACACAGTAGTTCTTCGCACTATGGAGCTTTCCACAGTCAGATTTTATTCACTTTGTTGACGAGGGAACAAATGTGTGCTACCATAAATGTACTGTTGTGCTGTAGCCCAGCTAGGAAAGCAAATCGTTACCATATTTCAAATGAAAAAGCATTTTCAGAAATGCTTTTTCATTTTAAGAATGTGGCTGCATTGTTTGACTCATAAATGAAATTAGTAATCAATCATCCTGTTTGCATTTTAAATTTCTTCTTTAATGCTTCTCATCATTTTACTTAATTAAAATAAAAAAGAAAAATACATTTGAGATTTATTTTTTGAAAATGTACCCCAGAAAATACATACCAAAAATAAATTTGAAATGTAAATTTTGAAAATGAAAAAGTATTTTCAGAAATGCTTTTTCATTTTAGGAATGTGATTGCATTGTTTGCCTCATAAATTAAATTAGTAATTAATCATCCTATTTGCATCTTGAATAAATGCACAGCACTCATTAACTTTGATTGAAATATGTACAGTGTGATTTATATCAGCCAACAAAATGTGGGCTAGCATTGGAAATAACTTGTAAGCTGATTTAGGATTTGGTGGTAGATGACAATTGTTAAACTAGTCGGTCATTTCAATGCTATGATAGTTAAATTTACTTTTGTGTACCCTTTCTGTTTAAGCTAACTGCTGAATTTAAGAGGATTACAACCATCAGTTTGCTGTCAAAGTTCTTCTCCCAGCTGGATGCTCATTCTTCAAACTTGATGAGGGTGTTTGGCAAGAAAGGCGGCGTTCAAGGAAGAAAGATAAGGAGCATCATGATACCCATCACCAAGGTATGATAATAGAATAAAATAGAAATTGTCAAACCTGTACCGATTCAATATTCTAAACTTAATGCTTGAAATTTAAAGCGGAAGTTTCAGAGGGATGGAGAGAAATAAAACTAGATGGAGAGGGGTGTAATGTACTTTTATGAAGAAGGATCTGATAAAATTTTAACCTTGGGCAGATGTGACAATGTCCACTGATGTTGCAATGGTAGGTTCTGTTTCCTGGGACCACATGCTTACATTTGACATATTTCTATGATAAAATGTCTTGCTGGTACATAAAACCAATGCACCCATGGATATTGTAAGTTCATATATCATAAAAATTGTCAATGATTTTTACATTTTGAAGAATGTATTATTTAAAGTTTTGTTTGTAAAATCTTCTACCAGTTGATTAAAATGTTTTATCTTTAATTTATTGTCCTACATACTCAGACTGACGCCATTGATGTCAAAAGAGAGTGAATCATCAAAGCCCTGTGTGTGTACCTGAATGAAGAGCCCGAGAACCTTGTGAAAGAATACATGGTATGTAATTTAGTGTGTTTAAAAATGGGACCAGTATAACATATCTTTACATGTATATCCTCTATTTCCCCCTTTTTTCTGTGAAGAACACAGATTGTGGGAGCAGTGAAGCTGCAGTGATGGAGACGACATTTGGAATATTTGTCATTCGCAAGGAAGGTGCAGAGCCAGGTGATGGACCGGAAGATGTAGGTATAGTTCTGGATGGGCTCGGAAACGTGCCACTTGCTGTGGTCATGTTGTTTGCGCTTGTATATGCGCTTAACCTCAGCTACCCGCCAGAGCTCAGATACACCTTTGAAGCTTTGCAGAAGATCATCGTGGAGCTTGATGGAAACATACTCTCAAAAAAAACCCAAACACTGAAAACTCTACTTGCGTGTTAGTCACCCTCAATAGAGTAAACTACAGGTTTGGAGTTACTCTAATGGGAAGGCATTTGAAGCCATTTGAGTAGTTACTGAAATGGAAGCTGTGTTTGTGTTTTAATACATCCTGTTGCTATTTTGGGTTTACAAAATAGAATGTTTTGAAATGTTTCTTTATGCAAAGGTAAGGTTTTAAAACAAATTGTTATTTTCTAAAGAAAACTATTTTGATATGGATGCATTATGCTGTATTTTGGTTGTTCTCAAATATTGGTCTTTGCACTCAGTTGACAGGACCACTTTCTGCGTATAACTTTGTAAAGGGCTTTGCTGAAAGCTCTAAATATAGACACCTAATGACAGGGGGCTCCAATTTCCTAACTCAGGAGTTACAACTTTTGTTTGTCTATCTGTTGTAGTTTTTTTACAGACATGATGTTGGACACTGTTTCAGGCTGTATTGTTTGTTGTATTTTCACAACGTAGTCATTTTTAAAGTAAAGTGATTTCAACAAATCCAATTTAGTTCATGTTTTTCTTTTCCAAACTTGACACCAGCTGGGGGTATATAGGCTGACATGTACATTTTAAATAGCTGAATATGTATACGTTAAAAATGATTTATTTTGTGAATAATTACTTATGTTCATTTTCATATGATAAAGTTAATCTCTTACCTAACTTTGTTTTGTGGGCTCAGCACAATAAATTCATGTACTGTACTATTTTGAAAAGTAGTTGTAACTACCCTATTAAATTATGTACCTAATAATCCTATCATACAAGTTTAAATGGCTTAAGAAAATTATGTTAGTATGTTACATTTACCTATATTTATCTAGTTGGACTGACCCCTGGTAATTAAGTAATAGTAATGCAAATACAACACGTTGACCCAACATATTTACCCTTTGTTCACTTAACAAAATTGCTTCTCGCTAAATTAATGCATTTTATTTAGGTGGAAATTATTTCCATAATTTTATTACGTTCTGGGAACAAGTTTTTTTTTTGAGTGTAGGAGCACGAGCGCACTGCTCTAACCACTGCTCTAACCACTGCAAATACACTACTGTAGTGTTACAGTAGTTAATCAATGGTATCAATTCCTTCATCCTCCAGGAACTGCCTGCATTCTCTCGCCACATGAGGCCGGGCATTGTCGTGCACCAGGAGGAACCCAGGACCTACTGCACCAGCATAGGGTCTGACAATGGGTGCAAGGATTTCATCCCGATCCCTAATGGCAGTCAGGGTGGTGTTGTCTAGCCTGTATAGGTCTGTGCGTCCCTCCATGGATGTGCCTCCCCAGACCATCACTGACCCCCCACCAAACCGGTCATGCTGAACGATGTTACAGGCAGCAGAACGTTGTGATTGTTTGGTCAGAGACATTCACACCAGTGGCCTGCTGGAGGTCATTTTGTAGGCCTCTGGCAGTGCTCCTCCTGCTCCTCCTTGCACAAAGGAGCAGATAGCGGTCCTGCTGATGGGTTGTAGACCTTCTACGGCCCTGTCCAGCTCTCCTGGAGTAACTGCCTGTCTCCTGGAATCTCCTCCATGCTCTTCAGATTGTGCTGGGAGACACAGCAAACCTTCTGGCAATGGCACGTATTGATGCGCCATCCTGGAGGAGTTGGACTGCCTGTGCTACCTCTGTAGGGTCCAGGTAGCACCTCATGCTAACAGTAGTGACAGTGACCCTAGCCAAATGCAAAACTGGTGAAAAAGAGTCAGAAAAGATGAGGGAAACATGTCAGCGGCCTCCACCTTTAAAACCATTCCTGTTTTGATGGTCGTCTTGTTGTTGCCCCTCTAGTTCACCTGTTGTTCATTTCATTAACACCAAAGCAGCTGAAACTGATTAACACCCCCCCCTGCTACTGACCTGACCAAAGCAATATCCCACAAGTTTAACTTAAAGCTATACTCTGATTAAAAAGTGTTCCTTTAAGTTTCTGAAGAGTTTAGAAGGGTCTAGCAAAGACATTCCGTAAGTTTAAAAACAATCCACTGGACTTGGTTTCCAAGGTTTGAAGATGTTTCACTTCCCATCCAGGAAGCTTTCTCAATTCGAATGTCATTTAAATTGAGAAAACTATGACCTGGATGACTGAGAATCTTCATCAGCATTTAGCAAAGACCAATTCTGTAAAGCTGCAAAAACACACTGAAAACATCTAAAATAGGTTTTTCCAACTTTCCTATGAATTAGTTGAATATTCTTCTCTGTAAAATTTTAATGAAATAGTTTTTATAGACTGGCCTTTATATTTCTTAGTGGTGCAGTGGTGTATTTAATAGTATCACGAGTCCTTTGACAGTGAAACTGTTAGATTGTGATAAATGTTTCACATAAAGCATCAGTGGTCTGAGGTGAAGATGTGGCGCTCTGCTGGGGGAAGCAGCAATAAGCATCCGTCTGGCTCTTTCACCACATTCATAAACAAACGGTAAGAAGAGCAGAAGCTAATCATCCGCTGGTCAAACTCCAACCTGCTGCTGAAGAAAGGAGTGGGAGGGGTGGAGGAATGTCAGAGGAAGCAGGAAGCGCCAGAAGAGACAAAGCAGATCCAGACAAACTCAACATTAGTGAAGTATTTTGTTTTTGTTCAGAGCTGTTTAAAAAGAGTGGGAGTTTCTTTCCATGAAGGGGGAAAGGTTTGCCTGTGGCTGCTGGCCAGTCTTAAAAAGGGTGAGGTGGCCATGAACCTCGTCTTTGGTCTCTTAAAACGTGCAACATTAAGCCTGAGCAACATCCCAAAGCTTTGCTACATCAATTAGCTGTTAAACATGAGTTCAACAGTGAACACTGCTGAAGCTTTTTATAACACATTTTTATAACAGTTTTATTATCATTTGTTCAGCTTTAGCCAAAAAAATAAAGTCAGCTTATCTCTGAACATATTGTGTAATGAGGCGGTTCACCAGGGGCTGAAATGGGTGTTTTTATTTCTTACAGATTTCTGACTGGTTTCTACTTGGCTGATAATCTGAACATCTGTTTTCTCTCACGCCTTCAAGTTGCCTAATCGCAAACTGGGACTTTTAGAAAACTAACATCTGATTTCCAGAGTAGATTGCGACAGAAAGTCCACCATCAAGATAAAAACAAATAAAAAAGAACGCCGGTCTCAGTTTCCTGGCTAAAAACTGTCTCAGAAGAAACGGCCTCATTACTACAGCAGAAAAGGAAAGCAGGCGTTGCTATGGCAACACGGCAACTCCTTAATTCATTCCTGTGAATTCCTGTAGCTCTGTGGCGCAAGTTGACATGACAATTGCTCGGTTCTTATTTACAGGTATCTATCTCTCTCTCTATATATATATATGTATATATATATATATAGAGAGAGAGATAGATTTGTTTATTTTTATTTTTGTATTTATTTTGCCTCAAAGATTAGCTATCCTGATAGCTCTTCTCTGTATTGCTATTTTTTATTTTTTTAGCAGACACCCTCCAGGCTACCATGTTTATTTGACAATTTTATTTGCAACCTTATGAAAATACATATTGTTTACCTTGAAAATGAAAATCAATTCTAAGGTTAAGAATGTAGAAACAAAAGGTAACTAGAGAGTAGAGCTAGTTAGAATGGATTATCTTTTATCTCACAGTCATAAAGCAGGTAAGAGCTGCTTCCTTAGGAGTCATGTCAGGTTCACCTGCATCGGTTTCCTCATTTACTTTCCTGATTCCTCCTTCTAACAAACAGACATCTTAAGTTGATTTATATTCTGCTTAGTTTATTTGTACAAGAGTTATGTAAAAACAAGACCCATTGGGCATCCATAGCCTTAGACACTTTGCAATCCCTTGAAGGGATTTTGCTTACTTTAGAAGGTATATAAGGTTATAATGGTTATGTTATCAAAAAAAAAAAAAGCTAATGCTGACAGAAAGCAGAGATTTCTATATCTGACAGATGATGTAAGCGTCCAGAGAGCAGTCTTTGGTCAGTCTCCAGGTGCCGTTCTCAGTGACCACGCTGCAGCCAGTATCCTGAACGGTTGGATCCGGCTGACTTTCTCCCCATTTGGTAAAATTCAGGGCTTGATTTTTCATGTCAGCCTGGAAGTTCCCCTCTGCTTTCTGACTGTTGATGTTGATCCAGGCTCTTTTATCAGCTTCACCAAGCAGCTGAATCAGTTTCCGGTTCTCCTCCTCACTCTGGGGCAGAGCCACTTCTAAGCCATGTTGGGAGCAGAACTCCACGGCCGTCAGGAACGATCCTCTCTCCTTGTTGGACACAAAGTATCTCTGATCTATCTTCCTCACAAAGTCAAAGCTAACAGCTGGATAAAAAGGAGAAAATCAGCATCACATTATTAACATGTCAACCATTTGAAAGAATTCACAACATGTTCTGTTTTTATTTTCCGGTCATTGAATTTGATCCTTAAATAAATGTACAGTATCTAAATAAGAGATAAAGATCATTCATGGAAAGAAAATAAGTAAAACTCAAAAACAGGAGGTAAATATTATATCCTCTATTAAAGGTGTGAAATTATTGACTGATCAGAGTTGAACTGTAAACCCACCAAGGTCCAGCTTTGTGGTGATCTTCTCCAGTTTTTGAACATCCTGTTCGAGGGAACCGAAGATATCTAGATGAAATAGGTGCAATTTTACGAATAACTGAAACTTCAAAGCAGTGAAACATGCCTATGATTTTAAAGTCGTAGGGAAGCGGCCATTCTAACCGTTGCATTTCCGAATTCTCCAGAGTGGTGCCTGACTTTACACGAGTGCATAAAGTGAATGTGATTGGTCGATTATTAGCTTTTTGGTTGTGGCCGGTTTGTTGGAAGCATCTTGCTAACCAGTTAGCATCTTAGTGCTAGCAGGTTCCCGATGGGAAATTCCATTGGGACCAAGTAGCACTAAATTGGTGACTTAGAAACGACGCTGTCAAGGAACGCTATGGACAGCGGAAACATGCAAGAGGAGGAGAGTTTAGTGTCAGAGGTCGTGGATGAGTCTCCGTCTCCTTTCAATGGAGCGCTAACAGAGCTCAGAGTATTAAGTTAAAAGTTCTCTTTTCTGTTGCTGTTGTTCAATTAAAGTATGTTTTAAGATCATTTGGAGTGAGAACATTATACTTTTAGGGTCACTATATGGCCCATTTACTGATTTAATGTGTAATTTAAAAAAATTTTCAGAAGTTGAGAGAACCGCAGCAACCAGGCTTATGCGATGGTAACAGCAGCCAGGGCCAACGTTAGCCCGTCTGCATCAGCCAGGGCTAACGTTAGCCCGTCTGCATCAGCCAGGGCCAACGTTAGCCCGTCTGCATCAGCCAGGGCCAACGTTAGCCCGTCTGCATCAGCCAGGGCTAACGTTAGCCCGTCTGCATCAGCCAGGGCCAACATTAGCCCGTCTGCATCAGCCAGTGCTAACGTTAGCCCGTCTGCATCAGCCAGGGCTAACGTTAGCCCGTCTGCATCAGCCAGGGCTAACGTTAGCCCGTCTGCATCAGCCAGGGCCAACATTAGCCCGTCTGCATCAGCCAGGGCCAACGTTAGCCCTGGCTGATGCAGACGGGCCAACGTTAGCCCGTCTGCAGCAGCCAGGGCTAACGTTAGCCCGTCTGCATCAGCCAGGGCTAACGTTAGCCCGTCTGCAGCAGCCAGGGCTAACGTTAGCCCGTCTGCATCAGCCAGGGCTAACGTTAGCCCGTCTGCATCAGCCAGGGCTAACGTTAGCCCGTCTGCATCAGCCAGGGCCAACGTTAGCCCGTCTGCATCAGCCAGGGCCAACGTTAGCCCGTCTGCATCAGCCAGGGCCAACGTTAGCCCGTCTGCATCAGCCAGTGCTAACGTTAGCCCGTCTGCATCAGCCAGGGCCAATGTTAGCCCGTCTGCATCAGCCAGGGCCAACGTTAGCCCGTCTGCATCAGCCAGTGCTAACGTTAGCCCGTCTGCATCAGCCAGGGCTAACGTTAGCCCGTCTGCATCAGCCAGGGCCAACGTTAGCCCGTCTGCATCAGCCAGGGCCAACGTTAGCCCGTCTGCATCAGCCAGTGCTAACGTTAGCCCGTCTGCATCAGCCAGTGCTAACGTTAGCCCGTCTGCATCAGCCAGGGAATCAAGATGCTTTGACCAAAAAAATCTGATTGACAGATGACCTTTGAAATATAATTTGCCAAATTTAGGTGTTCAGGCTGACGTAGAACTAACTGGCCTGCAGAGGATAACAAAAAAAAAAAAACACTGATTTAAGACAGGATTTTTTTTTTTTATAGAAATTTTCTAAATTTGGGATAATATGGTCTGATAAAGAGAACATTCATATACATGTTTAAGCCAGAATGATTTGACATTTAAATATGACTTCCGTACGACTTTAAATAGCTGACTCATTCTGCTGAACTTTTTTCTGTTAATTGAGTTTAAGTGATTAAAATATTGACATAATTAAACCAATTCCTGGCAGTGTAGTCTCATATTCATCACCTGGTCTACATGTTCCAGGTAGACCGGGAGGTCCCATGGTGGCCCTCTCGCGCCTGGAAATCCTGGTAGTCCTCTCTCCCCTTTAGGACCAGGCAGACCAGGCAGCTGAGCATAGCTCATGGAGACAATCAGGCAAAAACCATAGAAGAAAAAACAAAACCTCATCTTCTCAATTTATCCCTGGAATCTGTGAAAAAAAAAACCTCTTTATTAACCTTCAGATTTTCTACGCTCCGTATTTTTTTTTCTTTGAAAAAATGTTTCAAAAGCTCAAATAGTATTAATATAATATGTACAGTAACATCGTTTTGAACGGTTTTGCAGTAAATAAAATTGTTTTAACTTTTATACAAGATAGTGGTTGCAAAGGTTCAAAAGTATAAGTCACTAATAATTAAACCAGGATATTTTTTAATGTTTGCTTCAAGTTTCTAAAATTCATGGAATATACTGACCAAAAACTAGATTATAATAGAAAGAGGGAAAACTCACTTTTCAAATGTGATTATCCAGAAGGTGCTCCTGCTACCCACCGACCAGCGGACTGATCTGAGCAAAGATCTGCAGTCAGAAATATGAGATCCAGTCCAAAGGAAATCATGACTCATCAAAAATGTTAGAAACACAGAGAAAAAGGAACTGACAGCGCTCTCATAGTCTAACGTTAGATATTTTCTCCGCAAACAGGTTTGCTTTTCTCAAATGTTAGCATTCAAATGATGGAGTTTCACATTAATCCCACAAAAGCAAAGAATTTGCACTCTTAATAGTTTTTAATCACGATTAACAAACAGAGGTTTAAAGACTCAGTCCAGATCGTCTTCCTTTTATTTGTTCTGTTGGCTCAGTTTTTTTCTTCAAAGTTCTGGTCTCAGATCAGTGCTACTGATTAAAGACTGTTTCTATTTCACTGCAAAAATCAACTCATAGGCTTAACCTTCCCTTACTACAACGTTATTAGAAGTACTTTAGAGCAATTGGACCAAGGGCTTAAAGTGAGCTCCGTGCAGCGATGGATACCAGAGCTGTACGCTGACAGACCCTCAGCTCCAAATAGAAATATAGCTTTTTAAAGTTGAATGCAGCTGCTAAGAGACAGTCTACCCGAACATTATGACTTCCATTTCCAAATGAAAAAATTAAATCCTGCTGTCAGTTATTTGAATACATCTTACATCTAAAACATGGTCGCCAGATAAAACGTTGCCTCCTGTTAAAACGTTTAACAAAAACTGATTCTGCACTGTGCAAAGTTGTAAACTCTGACTTTTTTTTTCTTCCAAGTTTAATATGAATTGATTGAAGACTCTTCTCAAGGACTTTAAAGAATACGGTAATTAAGAGATTGAGAAGTAATTAAAGGGGTCAGAGGAGCAGAGGGTGAAGAATGAATTACTTGAATAGGGGCTGGACAGTTACATTGACTCAGATTCTTTAATTGTTATTTTATACACACAGTGTATACAAAACGAAATTTTGTTTTGTTCAGCTTTCAGACACTAAATGAGCAGCAGCTTAGCAGTGAAATGAACATATTTATTCCACCAACTACAGCAGTGATCAAATGTAAACAGTAGGGCAGAAAAACATGTTGCAAAAAAAGGCATTGATCTGGAAGTTCAGAGCATTAATATCTATAGAGCAATTCTGCAGTATTGTTGGTTTGGTTTTTATCAGAGTGATGCAGAGTCTGAGATTTAGAGTTTATTCATCAGTTCCTCAGTGTGATGGTGGGGGGGAAGAAGCTGCTGCAGAACCTGCTGGTCCTGCATTGAATGCTGGGAAGCCTCTTCCCAGAGGGCAGCAGGGAGAACAGTCCATGGTGGGGGGGTGAGGGGTCATTGATGATGTCACGGGACACGCAGCGCTGGGATGAAATGTCTTTAATGGAGGGAAGAGGAGCCCCCATGATCCTCTCTGCTGTTCTCACCTTCTTCCAGTCTGAGGCGCTGCAGCCTCCACACCACACAGTGAGACAGCTGCTCAGAACGCTCTCTATGGTGCTGCTGGAGAAGGTGGGGAGGATGGGGGGGGCAGGAAGTCCAAGCGCTTCTGGGCCCTTTGGACCAGTGAGGTGGTGTTTCCAGTCCAGGTGAGGGTGTCTGTGATGAATGACCACCTCTACAGCTGAGCTGTTGATGAGCAGTGGAGCGTGGTTAGGACGCTTCTTCCTGAAGTCCACCATGATCTCCTTGGTCTTCTCCACCTTCAGGATCAGGCTGTTATCTCTGCTCCACCAGCTGCTCCACCTCCTCTCTGTAGTCCAGGTCGTTGTCGTCTCTGATGAGGCCCACCGCCGTGGTGTCGTCTGCAAACTTCACCATGTGAACCACGCCAGAGAGGGCTAACAGACTGGAAGAAGGACAGGAGGCCCCAGATTCAAGACAACCTTCGTTTTTAGCAACAACCTTTATAACTGCATAATAACAACTTTAATAAGTCTGTTCGTTTATTCGTTGAAAAAGTAATATAACTACCTAGGGCTGTAAAGGTAGCTGAATTCATGTTGAACCGAATGGTGATCTACTCTCTGTCATAAACCGAACTGTTGGGTAAAAGGTTTGTTAATTGAGCAGTTTATTCTTTCATAATTATTTACATGCCACAGATTAAGATTAAACGCTGAGCTGGTGAAGCTCTGTCAAAATGTTTTAAGCAGGAACTCCCTCAACATTTGTGGCACTACTTTATATGGAAAATAGATAGAAAATTCGACCCCCTATATGCCAACATTAAATAGATCTCTGCCTGCAGCTGTTCATTTTCATCTATGGAATTTTCTCTGACAAAAGAACATTTCTGCAGGTTTCCCATCGGCTGACGGTTCTACATTTATGCATTTGATATTAAGGCAATCAGACTAAAAGTGTTAACTGTGTTGTTTTGTGACGAGGAGTCTTCTTTTTGTTTATCTTTCATTGAAAAGTTTTATTGATATAAAAGTTTTATTATTTTACTAAGAATGTTTTTATTTATTATTATTTATTTTTCTCATTCAAACAAAATGGCAAAAAGCTGTATTGTTCCATAGTAAAACCAAACTGTAACTTGGTGCTAAGGTACAAACGTATGTGTGCAGAGTTAACAGTTAAAAGTGTTATTTTCATTTGTTCAGCTTTAGCCAAAAAAGTATCAGCTTATCTCTGAACATGTTGTGTAACGAGGCAGTTCACCAGGGGCTGGAAAGTTTTTATTTCTTACAGACTTTCTGACTCTGGTTTCTACCGGGCTGAACATCTGAACATCTGTTTTCTCTCACTTCTTCAAGTTGCCTAATCGCAAAGTGGGACTTTTAGAAAACGAACTGAAATGAAGAGCAAGGAATGTGCTCTGAATCAGCGGCGGATGGTGGTTTACTCCGGGGGGGCATCAAACGTATACTAAGTTATCACACCCGTATATTTATGTGAAAAAACTATATACCCCACCTTTCATCAAACTCGAAACCACGCCCACATTCCAAAGTGACAGCCGGAAGTCCCGCCTTAATTAAACCGGAAGTCCCGCCTTAATTAATATAAAATTAATATAAAATTGATATAAAATTGATATAAAATTAATATAAAATTGATATAAAATTGATATAAAATTGATATAAAATTAATATAAAATTGAATTAAAAAATGAATAATTAAAAAATTATAAAATGTATAAAAATGCATATAAAAAATTAACTATGTTATTTTAATAACGGTTATGATGATTAAATGATTATTTTTTAATTACTTGTATTGATTTCTTATATAATCACTGTAAGCACTCCGTTTCAATCTCTGCCTGCCTGCAGCTTGAGCAGCTGTGTGATGAGTGTCACTCACACAGCACCCCCCCACCCCCCCCCCCCCCCCCACCCCCGACGCAGTAGCCCCCTAGGTCTGCCTTTGTATGAGGCCCTTTGCCTATGTGGCCCTCTGCCTCATAGGATTCTGCAAGACTATATATCTTTATACACGATAAATAATGATGTACATGTATATGTATCGGTCTATTAAAAGAAAAAAAAAATAAAATAAAAATAAAAATAAAACAAAAAAAAAACTAATGTCTAATTTTGTCCATTCATACGGTTTAAGCGTCCCACATGCGCAGTAGAGACTTCAATAACGTCACAAGCCGTCTTGCTCCTTGTTTACTTCCGTAAAAAATGGAGGGAAGGTTTAGATCGCATCTAGCTGTCTTTCCCAAACTTAAATACACAATCGTTTTTAAGATGGTTAGAAAAAAAATAAAATAAAATGCTCTCCCACCATGGATGTTGTGTTTCTAGCCGATTCTGTGCTCGCTCAGACGCAGGTTGCAGTGGAAAAGATCTGGGTCACTTTAGGCTACTGTGTGAATCCAAAGGTTTAGATCGCATCTAGCTGTCTTTCCCAAACTTAAATACACAATCTTTTTTAAGATGGTTAGAAAAAAAAAAAATAAAATGCTCCCCCACCATGGATGTTGTGTTTCTAGCCGATTCTGTGCTCGCTCAGACGCAGGTTGCAGTGGAAAAGATCTGGATCACTTTAGGCTGCTGTCCTTTCTCCAGTAAGAATAGGTGACTTACTGACGGCTGTCCAGAGCATTCTATACAAAGTGGGGGGCTGACTGAAGCGCTCTATACAAAGACGATACTGCCCGTCCTAAGGGTCACCTGATATGAAAGGTCGCATCATGAGGAGCTCACACCATGCCACAGAGTTTACGCGTCACCTGATGAAAAAATAATTAAAAAATGTATAAAAATGCATATAAAAAATTAACTATGTTATTTTAATAACGGTTATGATGATTAAATGATTATTTTTAATTATTTGTATTGATTTCTTATATAATCACTGTTAGCACCCTGTTTCAATCTCTGCCTGCAGCAGCTTGAGCATATTGGTTATTAATTCTCCAGTTTTATATTTTTAAAACACTTTACAGAATTTTATTTTTTATATTTTAACTCTTCCCTATTATGTTATTCTTATACATTTTTCTAAGGTCCACATTTGTGTGACCATTTTCAATAATCTTTCTGCTGCTGTAAATTTGCCCATTGTGGGACAATAAAGGGATTTTCTATTCTATTCTATAAAAGGGGTAGAGAGATATAAGTAAATCTAAACAATGTATTTATAAAAGATATATCTGCAAAATCTCTAATATTCAACAACAACAAAAAAATACTTATTTAAGCATATTGTGCAAAACAACAATAAAAAAATTTAACTCCTATCAGATTTATAGTCCCCACCCTGCAGATTTCTTAGAATCTGTCCTTAAATTACAGCCAAACCCATTTACACAGTAACAGATAAAAACTTTAGATAAACCAAACATTACCGCCACATATCTGACTCTATAACCATTAAAACAACTAGTAACAAGTAACATTTCCTCTCATCACGGAGCAAATCCCGATGATGAGACATTTGTTCTTTCTATCAACCCCTCCCCATACTGTCCTTCCTCAGGGTCACATGATGTGATAGGTCTCACTATGAGGAGCTCACACCACGTCACACAGTTTAAGCGTCACCTGATGTGAATGGTTAATTAATCCATCAGGTGTTTGGACCTTGGGAGGGGGTGAAAAATACACCACTTAGAAAAAAGAGGAGAGACTCTTTGTGGATCTCCTGACCGTGGTCTGAATCAGA